CATGATTAAACTTTTTGATAAATTTTTAATACCCGAGTTTTGAGGAAGCGAGTTCATTTCGCAAGAGGAAATATTAAGGAAGGGAATTTACAACTTTAGAGCCTGAGCCATCGCCGCGTTGGTCATTATACTCCAGCAATAAAACTTTCAATTATTTACCTCGAGTTTTATTCGTTTTCCCAGAAATCCGTAATATGCTACTTAAAATAAGCATCTAAATTGCATTTCTCAAGTGTCAATTCAAAGTCTGTTTAAACGCTACTCTTTCTCACACCAACCGGGTTAATTCTTACTCGTTGGCAATTGTGTTGGTTATAAAACGTTGCAGGTACGCTCTTGATTTTTGAACGTTTCGAATTTCAATACATTTTCTTGAACTGAGAAAATATTTAATTAAGAAAAATTGAACAGTTGTTCATATATTCAGTTAATTTTCAAGCGATACCCAATAATATAATAAATCATTATTACTATCTCAAGTGTCGCCCTACGTGGAATTATAATAATCTATTCAATATTCTCATTTAATAATAATTTCATATAGTTACGGTTCATGCGCAATATAACCGAGGACGAGACATTTCATTATGGATTTAGTCACAGTTCGTATGAAGGATTGAAATATTCAATGTGTTCTTCACCATGAAGAATGGCTCACGGTATCCAGTCTTTCTAATTGTTCTTAAAAATGAAAAATTGGTAAAATGGAATAAAAAGATCTTACTGAATCGATCGAAACGTCACCATAACAATAATTCGACACATCAGCATCGGTATTCGGTTTATAAACATCCACCGACGGTTCACTTTTCATGTAATCCGCCGAAAATACCTGCAATTAATGCCATATAAACGAACACATCAACGTACTCATTTTACCTCTGAAATAATCCTCCTTGTGCTATCTATCATTTTCAATGATCCATACTTCTCTATCACTACGAGCACCAAGCGGCTTTCTAATCCTGAGTTAGTGTAATAAAAAAAAAAGTATATCAACTTGTGTAATATGCCATTGAAACGTGTGTAACAATTACATTAAATCCATTCATGGACGCTTCATTTCCACTCAATATGTTCATGACCTCTTGCAGTGCATCACAACACAATTCTGGTACTTGATTTTCGACAGAGCCGAAACACGTCGCGAATTCTATCGGTTGCGTTTAAAGCCCCCAATCCCACACCGTTCCACCCCCAACCATCCTAACCCTCACGAACAATTCGTCTCTCCATGACGCGATTCTCTACATCTCCCTCACCAATCCTCTCCTTCTCTTTCATGCATACCAGTAAATGTCGGCAGACTCGTTTGTGTGTGTGCACATTGGTGCGGATATGCGGTTCGCTTGTATAATTCGAGGCGCGAGTGGGACAATGTTTTCATTAACCGAGTACACGAGACATACCGGCATGGTGTTCATTAGACACGCTCCCAGTTGTACGAATACATCCGCAAAATAAGCTGTCTGAATATTTTCCACAATAGCACTGAAGCCGCTGCATTGCTTCACGATAAAAGTCAGAGGTGTCAATGATTTTCTCGCTTACCTGTTCATCAGATACCACCACATCATGATTATTGGCAGCAGCAAGTGTTTTCAACCATAAAGATGTTCTTAATTCAAGAATAAGAAAATTTCTGGTTTCGCAAATGTGTGATTCCTCTTGTTTTTCCGAAACGATTCGCTAAATTTCACGATGGAAGGGAAAACAAATAAAACGCCTGGCAAATTAAACAAATTGATGAAGTGCCATCAATTAACATCAGTCAACAAACCGATCGCCATTTCACTGCCAACAATTGCTAAAATCGAAATTAAACACGTAGTAATTCAACTGATTGACGTTAATAAAATTCATTCTATTAATCGTCCCCTATAATTAAAGAATCCAGACGATTATGACGAACACAGAATCCTTATTGAATAATAGCTCATTGATGAATACAAATTGTGAGCGGTCTCAATACATTCGAGCACTCACCCCCACCATAGTCGACCTAAAATCCACCCCCCAGGGCAATTAAATAAAAATTATGAGCAATTAATTCAGCATCATCCGTTGTCCCTGCCTTCATCACACGAACGGATGCCGCGTAAAACTTACAGCAACGTGCCATCAACGAGGAAGTGTACATGTGTACAAGGGTAGCAAAATTTCACCGACCAAAATGGTTTCATTAAAATAATCGAGGGATGGGGTGGATGGGTGAGGCTCGATCGAAATTTCGTGTACAGAATAACGAGTTCACGTATTTTCTCCTCGGTGTACATACACGGTTAAAAGCCACGTTCCAATGTCGTATCTTGGCTGGGCCGGATTCTACCATACGAGTCCGTTGAGCAGACTGAGAGTGTACACATGTCGGTACGTGCATTGTTGGCCAGCGTCGGCACCGGGGTGAACCCAGTGCGGATTGGAGTGCGGCGGAGCTGGCTGCGGTGAAATGCGTGTATTTGAACAATTAAGTTTAGCCAGTTACCCTCCGCAGTCCTCTTCTCTCAACCCCCCTTTCCAGCCCCCCCGCTCCTCATTCTCAGGGAATCTTCCCTCCTCGTTTAACTTCCTCCGAAAATGTACACCGTCACACGAGTATGTACGTGCGGCATGAAACACCGAGTCGGTGTTTTACCCCCTCGGTTTGTTTCGTACATAACAAGAGGGAAGAGTGTACAACGAGAGGAAGAATGAAAAGAGAAATAAGTGAAACACACTTTACCCACCCCCGTCTCTACCCCCTTCCACCGCCTTTGGCTCTCCCTAGCGGGACGCTATGCCACTAATCGACCGGCCAATATATACCGACGCTTACGCCATTTGCTCAATCCCCCATACCCCCACGATTCACCAATACGTTATCCAATGGAATCCCCAAACGAGACTCTCCGACGGTTTGGCCTCGTAATTTTCCAGAATTGGCTTGTTTGTGTCTCGGATTTTTTATTGTCTCCTTTTTTTTTTCGTAAATTGCACACTCAAACATTCGTTAATGTCAACAACAAGGAGAAAAAGGAATTTGAGTGGCGGAGATATCGCTACGATAAAAATGATCTTTCATCGGCAGCAATCGGGCTTGCACCCCGTGTCTAGGGGTTTCTAGGGTAAAGACTAGTTGTGGACAGTCTCCGTGTCAGGAAATCACTGCGCAGAGATAAAAGTTTTAGCTTTCAGGGACTGATCCAGAATTTTGAGCGTTTTTCAGGTCTGAAGTTCACGAGAACTATCGATAATTAAGGGGTCTGGGAGCTGAGAACTAGTGGCGAAATCCGTTTTTAAAATCAGGAAATAAGTTCTGAGTCTCTTCAATTATTTTTTTGTCATGACAAGTGAAGTAGGAGGTCTGATGAAATGTGGATTTTCGCATGTTTCTACTCGGATGGGCTCGCCAGGGGGAAAGGGCAGAGGGGAGGAAAGGGGTGCGACAGGGTGGGAGTGAGTTGTCGTGCGGCTGGACGATTAGGTATGCATATATTGTACGAAGAAGTGCTTAATCATTTTTCCCAACGCGGGTTGTAGAGGCGAAAGGAGATCGCCTCGTATTACACTGTAGTGGATAAATAGAGTCACGCTATAGGGTCAAATCCGAAGGTACGGGGCATACGTGCAAGTACATGGTGTGTCTGGCGATGGGAGTTTATAATTTTTGAAATATGCGGAAGGAGATCGTTAACCCTCGAGCAATGTTGGTCTTGAATTATTACTGATTTTGAAATTTCATGGAGCGATTAAATTTTTCTCGCTCTCTGTATCGAGACTAATTGCATCAGCTGACGATTAACTACTCATTTATTTTGATAACGGTGCAATTTCATGTCGTTGAAAATTATTAAATGCAATGTAAACATGTGAAATGTCTACTTTTTCAAAAAATGTATAAACTTCTTTCACAACCAAAAACTCGTTTTCCGTTGGTTAAAATAAAAAGATTGTTTTTGAAGGTTGAAAAAATAACAGTACTGATTTCTAATAAATGGCACTTATCTCGAGATTATTAAAATTAACGCCTTTCAAATGAATAATTCACGCGGATTCTCCTAATCTCCGGATAAATCCTGATGAATCATCCACTCACAGCAAATAAAACGGTCAATTATATTTTTAAAATTCAATTACGTTTTACAACTAATTCTTGGAATAATTGAAACGATAAGTGGGGATTACGTATGCGAAAGTATTAACTTGGTTCTACAGAAATTAATCAGATTAAAAACAGGATCATTCAAATCTTGGATATCGTCGGAGGGGGACTTGACAGTTGATCAAATAATAATGATTATTGTTCATTGCGATATTGAAAGCACCTAATTAGCGTTGACGTGATTAAATTGAATGGCGTTAAAAAATGGGATCAATCAAATTATTGAATTATGCGCATCAGACTCTCTGGTGGGTGAAAATTCGACGGGGAATTTATCGACGGTCACGCATTTGGGGGTGAGATCCCCGGGTTCAATTGACACCGACTGACATAGACAACAGTCCGAGGAGGGTACACATAATTTTGCCTAGGCGGTTCCATAATTTTTATGGGTTAATCCTCTCGAACAGCAAAAGGGGAAACCACATTCCAAGGATACTCTGTTGTGTGAGGCATATAGATTCACGTTACCAAGGGCACCATAACGTGTTTTATTCGACAACTAGACGAAAGTATTTCTATGTATTATTCAGTTGAGTTATAGATATAATTCCCTGGATGTCGTTGTGTTATTCAGCATTTATTTTTAATGCTTTTTTCGAATGGAAAAAATATTCATGAGTAAAAATGAATGCGAATTAATCATTGTTACAGAATAATTTTCCACCACCCATACAGGACATAAATTTTTAATCGCATATTTCCAGACACGAAATCCAGGGAAAATTACGATTTTTAATATTTTAATTTACCAATTGAATTCCCGGGATTTCGGATCTACGAGTTCCTTAATTATTTACAATTGAGGACTCTTTAATTTATACTGGTTAAATTGAGTTTTTTTCCTTTCCTCTTGCAGTCACCGAGAGTGCACTCAATGTCCAAGTGATTCCTGAGAAAATGAAGTTCTACTTTTAATTTTTAATTAAGAGCTACTGCCAGGAATGAAGAAGAAACTCCTTAAAACACAAAAAAATGGATATTGATTTGGTAAGAAACTTAATCGTATCGAACTTTCTCCTTTCCAAGCTACTACAAGACAATATTCACCCCTTACTTCGTCTCCAGGGGTACTTCTGGTCCACAAATTGCCAAATCATATGCAACGGGCTCGCACAAGAAAGCAATATTACAAGAATCCTCTCCCAGTGCTCTGGCTTGGGTCATTTTGCCGACTTTGCTGAACTGGTCAACCCAGAACATATTGCGGCCTGAAGTGGGCCGTTAGTAGTCGCCACTGATATTCCAAAAGAAGAGAAAGAGCTGAGCAAAACCCGGAGATACAATAAACTATTTTTTCTCTCGATGCAATGGCTTTTTTTTTCTTCGATCTCTTCATTTTTTTCCAGCCCGTAAAGTGGAAATGACTGGAGACCAGGCTGTTCTCTGACGGGGTAGGTGGTAGAATAATGTCGGGGGGCCGTTGGGGGGAGGCAACAGGGGGGGAAAATACAGGGGGAGTTATAGATACAGGATTGACTCGCCAGCAAATTTGGCCACCCAGAGGCCAAAACGGTGGTAATAAATGAGCGGTGAGTTTGCTGGCAGCGAAACTCATGGGTTCAATTTCCCAAGAGAGAGTCGGTGCAAAACCGCAGCCTAAAAACAATATCTTTATACTCCTGGGGTAACAACGGGGAAACCGGTCGATAGCCATTCCATATACTCGAGCGGCGTATTATCCGAGCGGTGTGTATATGAGATCGATATACATTCTCGGTGTCATTACCCAGTTGAAATAAAAGAAGAGGTAGGGGTGGAAAAAGGCCCAGAGCGAGATAAGAAGAAATTTGAAAGGTAGGGAAAAAATAGATCGCAACGACTGAAATTACGCGCTTGCCAATGTACCCCGACCCCTCGTGTGTACTGTCCGCGTGTTATCTCCGGCGTTTCACCCCTCGTAGGCAATTTGGCACTGGCGCGTACGCGCCCAGCATCCCCAATGGAGTTTTGGCCGTCAGCTTATTGAGAATCTGCAGATTTTCTTGAGATTCCCCCCTTTACCTTCCACTCAGTCTGTCGAGTCTCATCTCCCTCCATCCCGGTACCGTCTCGAGTCCCGTATTCCCTCGTCGGGAGAATCAAGCGAGAGAGGCATTGAGAGATAGAGTACAATGGCCTTGGGAGGCTGCCTGATACGAGAGCTACGAGAGGCTTGAGAGCACTGAGAAATCCAAAGGCGGCGATAGGTGGATGGTTACCGGTATTCGGGTGAAGCACATCCGGGCAGGCGCCACACACAGGCCAATTGGAATAATTTTCCACTTTTGCACCAAAATCCAAGCGGTAATCAACCGCTTCCCTTGACCATCAACTCCGTTAGGTAACTACACCTGAATCGACCGCTGCCCATTCATTTTCATATTGAATTCCCAGGCGGAAAAGCATTTCAATTCGCCATTTTTACCCCCCAATTTATCCACAAATTTGCGGAATAATGAGGAAATTGGTTTTTCGAGTAGTAGTAAATCGAAACAGAAATGGATAATTTTTTTAATTCGGCTTCAATAGTAAGCTTGGCAATTACTTGATATTATAAATATTTTTTTTGTAATGTTTTACTTTTTTTCTGTGTTGTATGGTGTTTATCAATTTCTTCCTCTTAATTCAAATGATTTTATTTTCTGACTGTTTACCAATTTCTCTGTGTTGGCCATCGATTTTCGCTGCTGTTGCTAATCGAAGTTGTTTTTCTTCGTCAGATTGAAATATGTCTGTCGTGATATAGATACTGGAAGGACATCGATAGATAGCTGTTGAGAGTGGGGCGGGGGAGAAAAACTCAATCGAGAGTCGATAGACGATTAATCTGCTGGAGGACTTGGAAGTCGAGAAATCCTCGGTTCTTCTTTGGCTTATATGTACGCTCAAGCTAAGAAGTAGGCAATGGGTGGTCGCGACGGACTGCCGTGTATTAGGAAAGAAGGCTGACTCGACGCTATTTTCCTCGGTGGATTCCAATGTGCGTTTTCTCTTTTCCGTCTCGATTTGTATCGACCATAAATTCACGATATTTCACAGTGGTTGGAGTACACGAGGGAAAAAATCCGTCTACTCTCGTTTACTCTCAGCGATAAGAAATTACTTTACCATTCATGCTGAGTGTGGAGTATATAGTCGCTCTTTTTTCTCCGCTATGAGTTTTTTTTTTCCACCTACTGCAATTTGCCGAATGAAAATGGAGGAACTTGGCCACCTGTGTTATACTTGCTCCAACTTTATTTTTCTCGTTGGCTCCGTCTCGCGGAACGGGAAGTAAAAAAAAAAATAACTCGAGTGACGGAGGAATGGTGCACGCAAGAAGTAGAAAGTGAGAAAAAAATTCAGAGATAAAAGAGAAAATGAGCGACGAAAACGTACGACAGAGAGGCCTGTTGAGCTGTGGTGAAGATAGTGAATGAGATAACACCAAGGAAAGTGTGAAAATAGAAAACGGAAGAGTGAAAATTCTAGAAAAGAGCTGCCTAGGCCAACGTTAATTTCAGGGTGTGCAGACACGTAACGACAGAGACGACTGAGACGAAAAGTCATGAAGTGAGAGGATAAAGAAGGAATGCACGAAATACAGGGAAGGAGAGAAGGAAGGGGGTTAAAAAATGGAAAAAAATGTGAAGAAAAATACATAAAGTTGGATGGAAGAAGGACGGGCCATACGCGAGTTAGGGAAGCGGACAAACGAGAAATCTTTTAAGAGATGAGATGCTTTTAAGGACGTATTATAAAATGTCAGACTGGCTAGGGGGTAGAGTCCGGGATAGCGTTTACTGTGGCATAAATTAGACTTGGTGTTCCAACATAATCTGATATATTAACGAGCCAGTGAAGTATCCCTCTTCTCCTCTACCTCTACCCTTTCACCCCTTTTACCTCTTGCACTTGCACTCCTGCGGATCCTGGAATCGCACGTTTGATGTTTTTCATTTCTCCTCCCTCAATCCTCCTCGCTCACATTCTTCTTCACTATCTCTCCTCCTCTCTCCCCTCGCCATCGCCCCCTCTCAAACCCCCCACGTACTTTTTTTACAGTGTGAATCTGCCATCTAGTAATCCACGAAGATTTAACCGGTAATTGAAATTGCTTATCACTGATAGCGCGAAATTACGCGCTGTTGAGAGCTGAGAATGGAAGGGCGGGGATAGATAGAAGAGTTCAATCGAATCCGATGAAACAATGAATTATAAAGAAAAAAGGATTTTTATTTCATTTTATTATTCTCTGAGAAGTGAATAACGATTGAAAGTCAAAAAGGCAGTGCAATAAAAGCAACTAGCGTGGATGATAAATTTTAAACAATCAATATAAGCTGTCTGGTCGTTGTATGTGGTGCTGCGCGGCTGAAAGGATTTTATCGAAAAGGCCAGAGGGAGGAATCTTTACAACTATCGACCTCTCTCCTCGCTGTATATAAAACGTACACTCTGGCTCAACGTATATTTCTACTTTCAGTTGGCCTACACCGAATGAATGCCTCGTTTGTTCAACTATTGGCAATGGTAGAAGAGTGAAATCGTATATACCTCTCAATCCTCTCTATATATATATTTTTTTCTAACGATACATTGAGAGTATGGGACCTCTATTATTATTTATTCCTTTATTTCGAATGTCCCGGGGAAGGGGGAAGGGGGTCTCTTTTGTACTCTCATCGGCGTTGGAGATGGATCGATGCGGCTGTCAACTGTTGGATGCGATTAAAATCTGTCTATCATACAAATTACTCGTCCATTATAGTCCCGATTGATGTGATATTATTTGGTAATCACAGAGAATGTTTCGACATTTTTGCCCTGAATGAGTGAAAAGGAGGTAATACTATATTAAGCAATATGAGTGTTGATGTGAGTAAGTATTGAGGGATTTAGCGAGCAATATGAGTGAATAATATTATTAATCATCAATGGCATTTAATATGTTTGCCTGTGATTTTATGTATGCTTGTCAGAGGGTTTGAAAATGGGAGGAATTGGAGGGTATTATTGATTCGTTGTATGGGTAGATGGGGGCTTTTTGCAGAATTATTGATATTATTTTTCAGAGTGACATCGATCAAAGGGCCTGGGAACTCCTGCACTTGTTTCATCGCTTACCCTGTGTTGTTTGGTGAGACACGAATGGCGGATGAAAGACCGTAAAGAGGGAAGGGCGGTGAGGAGGGTGAAGAGGGTTACAAGAGACTCTGGGGTTCTTTCGTGGTGTGGCCTGTGTGATTCAGCATTGTCTCTTCAGAAGCTCAGGGAGGGACCTGAGCTCCTTCCTCCCTCCGACTTTCCTCCCTGCCGCCAACCTCACTCATTCAACTTTTAATTACGAGTCCCATTATTCCTCCAAGATTAGGTGGGTGCCCGGCTCCTCACTCGCCCCTTTTGTCCACCCCATTTACTCCCCCACCCGTAACTGCCGAGAGGTCTCCAATGATAAAGATGAGCAATAAAATTTTCCGCCTAAAACAGTTTTCGGGGAGAATAAATTTAAGAAATTTATTCTTAATCCTTCAAGGGATTTACATGAATTGCGAAAAATATTTAGAGAAAATGGAAATGCAGAGGCGGTGAAAATTGATCTACCCCTAACAATCCCTCAAATAAAGTTTTGGGGTAATTAAAAACAAAAAGGAGAGTACAGCATAGCGAAAATTGCTCATGAAGAATAACTAGAACTTTTGTGTCTGTTTTCTGTAAACCTTGAAATTTCAGTTTTTTGAAATCCGAAAACTTTTGTGCAGTTTTTTGGATTCCCCCAATCCGGCGACCGAGAGATTCCCGATTATAGAAGGGACAAATCAATTGGTGCATCTTCAAGAGAATCGATTTTTAGGGTCGTCTGACACTTTTTTGAAAATTTTCAAATTTACGTGAATACCTCCTCGCTTTTCATATTCCCCTGATATTTTCGCGAAAATTTCGATTTTTCAAATTCCCGTGAATAGCTCCTCGATTTTCATGTTCCCCTGATACTTTTTCAAAAATTTCGAATTTTCTAATTTCAGTGAATACCTCCTCGATTCTTATGCTCCCCTGATACTTTTTCGAAAATTTCGAATTTTTCAATTTCCGTGAATACCTCCTTCATTATCCTGCTCCCCTGATACTTTTTAAAAAATTTCGAATTTTCAAATTTCAATGAATACCTCCTCGCTTGTCATACTCCCCTGATACTTTTTGAAAAATTTTGAATTTTCAAATTTCAGTGAATACCTCCACGATTTCCATGTTCCCCTGATACTTTTGTGAAAATTTGGAAATGTTCATATTTCAGTGAATACTTTACTCTT